TGTGTTCGATCTCAAGTAAATTCCCCATCGCATACCCTCGACCTCTGTGATATATTCAATAGCTTATGGATTCATAAATATATTCCACATCCTTCAATCATTTGAAGTTAATTACAGGAGCGAAATTTTTGCGTTTTCGAATAAATCACTAATTGTAAAATGATTCGTTTCTTATTTTATATAAATTTTGTCTTAAGAGAAGATAATTTTGCAGTAATTTCATAAAGTTGATTGTTGAAGTTTGCAAGTTTTCCTGATTATAGGAAAATGGATATTCGTACAGAAAAGTACAAAGTCGTCAATACCCTGAGACGCGTGTAACCTGTCATTTAGCGGCACTCGGTGCGCTTTCGAAGAGTGTCATTTGCAAAATGAAGGAACGCCTGCTTCCTGTGGGAACTCTACATCCATTTATAAGAAGCACTTAAATTGAAAGTAGAGAAAAGTAACTGGTCACGATGATCGAGTGATTTATAATTAGACGCTTTAGATGTTCATTCCTCACAGAGTTGCTTTACAATGTTTATGATATAATGGGTGTTTCTGAACGTACCCCATGATATTAATTATCCCTTCAAGTTTCTTAAAATAGATAACACAATAGAATCGAAAATAGAAATTAAAAATATAGAAAAATTATTATAATAGATGTAAATGTTTTTTTTTATTTTAGATATAGAAGAATTATTCAAGAATAAGCCCTCAATGGTATATTTAAGGGATGAGAGCAAAGCAAAGGCAATCCAATTAAAATTCATACTCAAATAAATAATTATCAATCTGAAATAAATCTTCGCGGGATGAAAAAAATAGCGGTCGGCTCTGGGGTCAGTTTGCAGAGTGGGGAGGCGTGCGTAACCCCTCGGAGGCACGTGAGCGTGTAGCTACATCGTTATTTACCATTTTATTCATTATCTTTTCCACGGGGTTGCCGGACCATTCGTGCACACATGCAAGAGGGTTCCGCACCGTACGTTGTGCCTTTGACGTATGTGTACCGAATACGCAATTACACGACGAACATCGTGGAACTTTAATGATGGCGAGGCGAGGTCGCAGAAAACTGAGACTTGGCTATATAGTATAGTATATAAAGTCAGCAGCGCAAGGTTGTTGCAATATAACGAAATCGATATTTTCAAGGCTCAATTCATCCTTAAAATTGACGAAGATAATAATCACAGCGGCGTTCGTCGACGGTATTAATTAACATTGTGTGTAATAAAAGACAAGTTTTACGCGGTGTAATCCTACGGCAATTACTCGGATTAACCGCTGTCCTTTCTCTAGAATTAAATCATGTGCAGGTTAATGATATATCTCTTAGGAAAAATAAGTTTCAAATTTTTAATTCTATCGCAGAAAATTATACCTGATATTATAATGAATCAATAGTTTACACTTGTTTGGAAATAACCTACTTAAAACTATTAGAGAATGAAAATATTCTTGGGAGCAAAAAGTTAGTTATACTTTAGATACTTTTTAGCTATACTTTAGCTATACCTCAATTCTATGAATTATATTTATTGTATAAATAGCAATTTTTTTTAACCCTTTAATTCCCCAGTGGTTTTGATCGAAACGACTTTAAATTCAAAAATCTATAAATTTGTCAAAAATTAAAATTATATTCTTGTTTCCTAAACAGAAGTGACTTGGAAATTTAATCAACTTTTTAGAAAAATTTTATAAAATAATAAATTAATAACAATATAACCAAATTTGTTTTTGTAAGATTTGCAAAAACTTACCAAAATATAAAGAAAAAATTAATATTATATAATTATTATTATACAAATAAAAATATACCCATTTTGTTTGCAATATGCTTTTTCTATAACAAATTTAATTTGACTGATCTAAATTATTGTGCATATTATTCTCCTTTTTATTTATAAAAAATACTAGAAAATTGTTAATTGTTAGTAAAATTTTTATTAAGAAGTAGGAAATATACCAATTTTAAGCATAATTTTTATTTCTCAATAACAATATTGTTTACAAACTAATTTTTTTTCTTTTTGGGAAAAAAAAACATTAGATATTCCCGTTTCTTAATATTTTTGTAGAAAATTTTCAATTTTCATAAGGAAATAATTTGCATCAATTCTATTTCTTAATTTCAATTGTTTTAATAAAATTCAAAGTTGTTTAAAGAATGTTTCATTGAAAAAATGTTCTGTTAAATTTATTTACGAATATCTTCAATTGCAAAATTATTCGCAAAAAATAATTTCTTTTTATAAATGTTTTAAATATTTAATTATTATTTTTTGATAGGAATTAAAATTCTTCAAAACATTCAAATTTAAACCTTTTTAAAATTAATTAACTTTAGAAAGGAGAAGTATTTCATTATTTAAAAAGATAATTGAATTTTTGACAGTTAATTTTATTAAAATATTTGAAAATAATTGAAATTTTAATCGATTTTTTTAAATTTTGGAAATAATTGAATTATTGCAAAGAATTTTATTATTTCTGAAAATAATTGAATTATTGAGAAGAAACTTATAAAAAATTTGTAAATATTTGATTTTATGTGAAGTTTTTATTATTTATGAAAATAATTAAATGTTTGCGTAGAATTTTGATAAAAGTGTTTTTAAATAATTTAATTCTTTTGGGTAATTTTTTTAAAATAATAAATATTGAAAATCATTGAAATGAGAAAAACTTTGGAAAATAATTGAAATTTTGACAAGAATAATAATTTATTTTCAGCAATCATTTGTAACTTCTTTAAAATTCAATTTTTTTTGTATTTTTTTAACTAAAATTCTTTTATAAATCCATTATTTTTATATAATTAATTAAAAAATATATATTATTGACAAATTTATCTGATTTCAGAAGATTTTGAATTATTAAAATTTTTCAAAAATCTAAATTCATTAAAATTTCTAATTAAATTCATTCAACATTGAAATTTTATAAAATTTCAATTTAAAACCGTTTGAAGTTCATTTATTTATGAAAATTGTAAACGCATCTCTTTTCAAATTGAAAATTAATTTTGAAATATTTAAGTTTATTCATTAAATAATTTTTTTATTTCATGATAGTTGTTCAAGATTTATAAGTTATTTAACAAATAATTTTTCTTAGAAATTGAAGGTTTTGTATTAGAATTCATGGTAATTTTATAGTTTATGAGTCAAACAAAAAGACAAAAAATTTAGAATTTTCTAATGAATTCTAAAAATTTAATTCTTTTTAGTACTTTTAATAAAAATTTCTGACTTTTTCCTGAATTCCCTGTCAGAGCATATGATTATTATAATTATAATAATATTAAAAATATATATTTCAATTCATATTTTATTTTTATAAAAAAAAAAATTGAATTAAAAATTTTCACGTTCTATAATTTTTAAAATTGCTAATTTTATTTAAAAAAGTGAGTGAGATGTCAGCCGCTCGAATTGCAAAAAATATAAATGCGCGAATTGTTGCTAGTTTAGATTAATTTGCTTGTAGAGTTTACTTGCGGTACACAAGGATACAATTTTACTTATACATGAAACTCTGAAATTTTAATTATCCCTTTGCAGCCTTTCATTTTTCTTTTTACACGAAATACTGTCTTCTTTCTCTTCTTTTTCACAGTTTGCTTTTTTTGCTGTTTTGAAATTATTTCACAAAAAATACTTCTTCAAATGAGAAATTATTTTAAAATTAAAAATAGTTATATATTACATGTATATAGTCGTAAATGATTAAATGATTTTTTTTTTATTATTGTTCCTGTTTTGAATACTACACATTACTTACGTCACAATAATTCATGTTCGAAACTGTTGGATCACACTCTTATGGAGAAAGAGTACAGAGATAAAAACTTGCGACAAGAAAGAGTGAAACATTAGTGTCATGGCTTGAATATAAGTCTCGCTTTAACGTAAGATAGATGATCAAGTCTTGACCCTAAGAGGAGAGAAGCTGTAGTGCCATGTGTGTGGTCTATTGTCACCGCGTTCCGTAATAGCAAAAAAAAGACTCCAGATTGACCTTCACAAAGAAACGTAATGAGTTTTTGATCTTAACAATGTTCAAATTATTTTCTCCGCATTATTACCATTTCGTAAAATAAATACAAAGCGTTTCTCTTGGAAGCATTACATAAATTTTTATATTAGTCCCAACCATTAAATACAGCTCTTAATTTTTCTTTTTCTTCTCATTTCAGAAAAAAGGAACAAATTTTCTGTCAATGTTTATATACACTTTTCATCTAAATCCTCACAGACTTCTTAAATAATTTGCAAATAATTTGCAAATCTTGAAAAATTCGTCTATTTATACAATTGCAGAAACACTCAATTCAGGTATAAATATTTGCTCGACTAAAAAGCATAAATTAGTTCGATTTCCTGTTTTTGTAAATTGGAAAGATCTTGCGATTGAAGAAAAATAAGTGAAAATTTAATACATATACAGACCACACGGAGAAAATGTCGAAGGTGGTCTGGCGAGTGTCTCTTGTCACTTTGCTGAAATTAACGTCTCGCCACAATAATAAACCGAGGATTCGCATCCTACACATTTCAATAGGTTTCTGGAATTTGGTGGATTTTCTTTCAGTTATATATAAATATTTGATAACAGGACGGTCGTTCAAGTCATAAAAAACATAAATATTATTTTCCGTTACTATGAGCAGACCACCGGTTGTGTGAAGTTAATTCCTAATTTACAATGATTATCGCAAATATCGGCGGCTTTCATTTTCATAAAGTTTACTTCTCCACCAAATCAAACACAGAATTTAGTTAGAAAAATTGAATTATTTATTTTAGATAATATTTTTATACTTGAATTACGTTATGTAAATTCAAATCAATTAAAGAAATAAATTTAAATTTATTAAAGAAATAAGAAATAAATGTTTAACTAAAAAGAAGATATGCATTAAATGTTTCTACTATCTACAATTTTTTAAAAATACGTTGATTATTTAATTTTTAATTAAGAAGTACAATTCTTTTGTGTTTCAGTGGCCAAACTGGTTTTTACGTCCGGAAATCCCAGTGAGCGTTCCTCTCTCAAATCAGGTGTCAAATTCCAATTACACATTGACGAGTTCAACATTGTCGAGGAATCATCAAGACCCTACGAAATTATCTAAAGCGTCATCTCTGAATAGCAGCAAAGTGCATGGACAGACTCCAATTATTTGCTCGGTAAGACAAAATTAATTTAATACTCAATAAAATGCAATTGACAGTGAATTAATTTTATAATACGTAATTATTTTATTTATTTTTCTTTAAATTCATTAAAGATACTATAAATGTTACCCTACTGAAATGTTTATAGTTTTGTAGAAACTTTTCTATAAATTCTGTAAATTAGCAGTAATCGATTTGGAACAGTTTCTCTCATAATTTGACAAACCTCATAAGCATAACTTAAAAATATTAAAAGTGTCGATTTACTTACTTTTTTTCGATACTTTTTTTAAATACGGAAATATGTTTTCTAATACGTCATCATTTAATTAAGATATTTCGTTTTTTCACCCGAGAACAGAATTTATTACGATTACAAAGCGCAAATTTGCCTTGAAAAATGGTTTTGACCTAATATATATTGATTTTGAAAATTCTATTTGCTGAGTTCATAAAAATAAGATGTAAGAGCGCTTTATGCCTTAATATTAAATTCGTTACGGATACTTTGCGGCTTTATGCGGCCCTGTGAATGGTGTAATATACGAGGGCGGTTTACTTCGAAGGCCCCCCTGAACATAATGAGCTTTTTATTTCGCGCTCATCGTGCGCGAGAAGACCAACTGGAAGCTGTTTAAACAACCGTGAAAAAAGATTTCGAAATGGTTTGGCACTTTATAAAAAATATATCCCCTTTTTCCCCTTTTTAAATGCAACGTGGATTCCACACGTATTCGCAAAGCTGCGACAAAGGACTATAGGAACGAGTCTTTTTTTTTTTTTTAATAAACCAAGTCAGTTTAGACTTTAGAGTCAAATCGCGTCAACCATGAATACATTTTTTTTATAGTTTTGGAAAAGTCAAAACATTTATGAAAATCTGTAGTTCACAGCAAACCAAAAAAACACTTTTAACCGTTTTTCAAAATTTTAAATATTTATACCTTTTTTTTGTAATAAAAAATTTTTGCATTATTTAAGAAAAAAATTAATAACTCATTACTGTTTTGCTAGAAATTAATGGCAATTTTTTTTTAAAACAAACTAATGAATAATGATACTCAAAAATTTTCAATTTTTAAAAAGTTTATTAAAATCTTAGGAAATAAATTTTCCTTGCAATTTTAAAATTAACAAATTTTGTCACTCTGTCATCATAATTATGATAAAAATTGAAGACTTCAGTCTGATTTGATTCAGAGTGATTTTTGTTAAATGAAGTGTGCGATGTATTAAAACTGTATCCGCTAATATTTTTAGATTAATTTTGCATAATGGTTAGGATAATAAATTCTTTCTTGTCCAATAGAGAGTTAAATCAGCATAAAATTCTTGCTTGAATAAATTTTATAATAAAGCAACTCTATCAGGGCTCGAAATATGTCCGTAAATCTTGTAAAGGTCCGTAAAGTCCATAATTTGATTAAAAAAAGGCAAAAAGTTCGTAAATTGTACGATATAATTTGGAGAATTTTAGAGAAATTACAAATTATTGTAAAAATTTTTAAAAAATCCCCATCAAAATTTCAATTATTTTTATAAATAATAAAATTCTTATCGAAAATTCAATTATTTTCAAAAATGTTAATCAAATTCTTGGCAAAAATATCAATATATTTTCAAAAATTTTCAATTTATCTATTATTTTAATAAAATTTCCCAAAAAGAATCCAATCATTTAAAAAAATTTTTAATATAATTCTACGCAAACATTTAATTATTTTCATAAAATAATAAAAATTTCATTTAGAAAATCAATTATTTAGCATTTATTTATAAATTTTTTCGCACTATAATTCAATTATTTTTCTAATTAATAAATTTTTTGCAGGGATTCAATTATTTTTCTAAATAATGCAATTCTTTTGTGTAATTCAATTATTTTTATAAATACACAATAAAACTCATCGCAGACTTTGAATTATTTTTAATACAATTTTAATGGAATTTCTCGAAAAATGTAATTATTTAAAAAAAATTTTATTAAAATTCAGGAAAGAAATTCAATTAATTTAAAAGCCTTTGCTACAATTTACTTATTAGAATTCAAGTATTATTTTTAATACAGTTTTGATTAAATTTCTTCAAAAAATTAAATTATTTTCAAAAATTTTAATGAAATTCTTTGTAACAATTCAATTTTTTTTCAAAATAATTTTAGTAAAATCCTTCACAGAAATTTAATTAATTTCAAAAATTTGTCAAAATTCAATTATTTTCCATGTTTTGTATTTCAATAAAATTTCAATTCAATTCAATTCTAATTTTAAAAAGAAATTTTAATAAAATCCGTCTCAAGAATTCAATTATTTTCAAAAATAATATAATTCTTCGCAGAAAAATTTTTCTTCAAAATTCAATTATTTGCAAAAATTTTAATAAAATTCTTGGCAGAATTTCAATTACCTATTTTTAATACAATGTTCATTAAATTACTCGAAAAATGAAAACTATTCTTAAAAATTTTATTAAAATTTGTCAAGAGCATTCAACTATTTAAAAATTCACTTTCTATAATTATTTAATGTTGATAAAATTCTTTATGAAAATTCAATTTCAAGAAATATTCATATAATAAAATATTTATTTTTGTATTTAAATAATTGAATTTTCGTCGAATTTTCCAATAAAAATTGATTTAATGAAATAAATTTCGGTTAAAAACAAATAAATTTGAAGATTCTTAAAACGCTTTTAAAAATTTTTTTAAAAATAATGGATTTATAAAAAATTTTTAGTAAACAACAACAAAAAAAATTGAATTTTGGAAAAGTTACAAATTATTGCAGAAATTCAATTGTTTTCAAAAGTAATAAAATCCTTCGCAGAAATTTAATTATATTCAAAAATACTAAAATTCTTCTTAGGAATTCAATTATTTTCACAAATAATAAAACTCAATGCAGAATTTCAATTATTTTTAGTACAATTTTAGTCAAATTTCTCGGAAAATGTAATTATTCTTAGAAATTTTATTAAAAGTTGTCGAAAGAATTTAATTATTTAAAAATATGTTGATAAAATTCTCTATGAGAATTGAATTTTAAAAAACAATTAATTGTTCAATAAATAATTTTTAAATACCCAATGATTGAATTTTTATAGAATTTTCTAATAAAAATTGATTTAAAAATGAATTTCAGTTAAAATTTTTGATAATAATTGATTATTAAAAGTAATATAGCATAAATTTCTAAAAATAATTGAATTTTGAAATGAATTTTTTTGAAAATGTGTAATTGAATTTTTTTATATTATTTGAAGTTTTTTTTCTAATATAAAAATATTTAATTGGAGAATTTACAAATAATTGAAATTTGTAAAATTGAATATTGTTTTAAGTAAAATGTTTTTTTATTTGACTTGGACTGGTTATATTTTTGTCAGTAATCGGTCCATAATTTTTCATTTTTGGTCCGTAAAGTCTGAATTTTTAAATACTTTCACTGGTTCGAGCCCTGAAGTATATATTCGAAGTTACAAATAAGTAGAAAAGGGCTTTACAAGTGAGACATAACCATTAGATGCTGTTAAAAGCTATTGCTTTTTAATTCTTCCATACTATTACTACAATATATAATTATTAAATTATTAAATAATAATTATCAAATTATTAAATAATAATTATCAAATTATTAAATAATAATTATCAAATTATTAAATAATAATTATCAAATTATTAAATAATAATTATCAAATTATTAAATTAAAATTACGTGTGCAGAAAAAATATTTAATTTTATCAGACGATGCGTCTATGAGAAAGCGTTATACGCTTATGAAGGAAATACAAAAATATATGCACTCGAAATAGTTTTTCACACGCATTGTTAAATTTGAATGCAAGTAGAGAAGCGAAAAGTTGTACCTAACCTGAAAATGAAACGATAGCGAAAAGTGAGTTGGTAACGCCCTTAATGGCCAGCGACACGGCACGTTTACCGTGCTAACTGATCGATATTCAATTTACAGTTTTGTCACAATGCTATTGCGTTTCGAGGAACGAAGGCGCCTGCTGGAAGTCGTTCGTCAACGTCGACAAAAAGCGTCGAGAAGTGAATTATATAACGTTAGGTTGGCGTCTATAGTTTAAACGACTTCTGTCACTGGTGTACTCGTTAGTGCACACTACACTTATACATAAGACAAAGTAATACTCCTCATAGGAAAAGAATTGCCTTAATATTTAATATTTAATTTTCTACTTAAATTTTTTATGAAAAAAAAAAAATTTTTTTCATAACAAATTTTGAATTCAGTAAGAATATTTATTTCGGTATAAAAGCGTTCGGTAGAAATTTTTTTGCGTATAATATCATTCAGTAACAAATTTTTCGGGCAAATTAATTCGGGGAACGTTCCTTTGGTAAAAAATTTTTTGGTAAATTCGACATTCGGTAAAATTGATTCGTTGAATCAATTGCTTTGAATATTCAAAATTTCAAACTAATTTTCAATATTTCATTTTAATCCATTTATATTATTTTTAATTTAATATTTAAATATTATTTGAAAACTATATAATTATTTATTTTTTTAATATGCCTGTGTCTTGACGTGAAAAATGTATTTATACGCTGAAATTACGTAACATTATATTTACACTTTGAGATGCCCGTTTTACTACCTGAAGGGGGGGGGGGGCATTTGGGTGGAGTAGAAAGGTAGAAAAGCAAATGATCACCATCAGTGATGATTGGTGACCAAGAGAGGCCCTAATGACTATACGAGCGGTTCACTTTTTTTTGTCGTCCGAGATGAATACAGTTGCGGTACGGTATGTTATGTGAGTGGAAATTATGAGCAGCGGGTCGTCATAACGGAATCGCACTTTTGTCACAGAAAAATTTCATACCGAGAAATGAGCCATCTAATGTCCACTCAACGATGTTCATTTAATGCAGGTGCTCAAGTATTATAACTCCTGTGTAATTCTTCTCAAGTTTCTCCGTCAATTTTAAACTTAACAAGTTTTGCCCATCGAAGAGAAGAAAAAAAAATAAATAAACAGC